TCCCTGGGGGCGGCACGCAGGGCCTGCTCCTGGAGGCGCCTGGTGGCCTCGGGGTCTGCCCCGCCGTCACTGCGCCCGAGCGTGTGGCTTTCCTGCGGGCCGGGCGTGGTGGTCCCCTGCTCGTGTCCGGTCCCCTGGGCCACCTCGGCCACCTCGGCCTCCTCGATGATGGTGGTGAGCCGGCGGGTCAGCGCGGGCAGGCCCAGCTTCCCCGAACTGAACTGTGCCAGCAGCTGCTCCCGCCTGGCGGCGCTCACGTAGCTGGATGTCAGCACGTCCCACACGGGCACTGCCGGACCCCGCAGGCGGCCCACCTTGACCTCCATGGTGGCGGCACGCAGGGCGCCCTGAGGCTCCCCGGGGGCCGGGCGCGGGCTCCCTTGCTCGGCCCGGGCCAGCAGCGAAGTGAGCGAGTCGCCCACCTCCCGCGCGGTCAGCGTGCCCGCCCGGTACCTGCCCAGCAGGTCCTGCCGCAGGCTCTCAGACACCTCCTGGTAGAAGAGGAGCTCCCACACGGAGACGCTCTGGCCCCGGAGGGCGCCGGCTCCGGGCGTCACGCGGAGGTCACGCAGGGCCCCGCGCAGCTCCTGGCTCAGCTGGTACACGGCGGAGCCCCCGCTGGCCAGCGGCAGCAGGCACAGCCCCGTGTCGGGGTCACGCACGCAGCGCTCCAGCAGCCGCAGGTACGTGAGGTTCTCGTGCGTGTTGGGGTCGAAGAAGCCCTTGGTGTCGTCGCTCGGGTCCGCCAGGACGCGGTTCATCTCCTCGTCGAAGTAGCCGCGCTGGTAGGCCACGTGCACGGGCATGCGGTGGCTGTGCACGGGGTCGATGACGCCGCCCGTGGCGATCTGGGCCTCCAGCAGGCGGATGCCGTGGTCCCGGACGATCAGGTCCTTCTTCATGGCCTGGAAGAGCGAGATCTGCTCGCCGGTGTAGGGGTCGGTGTAGCCGGTGACGGCGCGCTCGGCCGACAGCAGCTTCTCTTGGATCTCGCCGCCCACCACGCCCGCGGCCACCGCCTCCTCCACGGACAGCTTCTGGTTGCGCACGGGGTCGATGACGAAGCCGGTGGCGGCCTGGGCCTCCAGCAGCACCAGGGCCGTGCCGGGCCGCAGGATGCCCTTCCACATGGCCTGGTAGATGCTCATCTTCTCCTGCCGCCCGGGCTTGTCCTTGGCGGGCACCAGCACGCCGGCGATGCAGCCCGTGCCCTCCAGGTAGCGCCTGACCGATTCCATCTCCGTCACCTCCTGCAGGGTCTTGGTGCCCTGGGCCAGGCCCTGCAGGGGATCTCGCCGCCACCACGCCCGCGGCCACCGCCTCCTCCACGGACAGCTTCTGGTTGCGCACGGGGTCGATGACGAAGCCGGTGGCGGCCTGGGCCTCCAGCAGCACCAGGGCCGTGCCGGGCCGCAGGATGCCCTTCCACATGGCCTGGTAGATGCTCATCTTCTCCTGCCGCCCGGGCTTGTCCTTGGCGGGCACCAGCACGCCGGCGATGCAGCCCGTGCCCTCCAGGTAGCGCCTGACCCCATCATCCCGTTTGACATCCTCCACCGTGCTGCGTCCGCCCTCCAGGTCCTCCAGCATGTCCTGTGTTATAACGGCCGACTTCAAGAGCTCTGCGGCTGTGACCTGTCTCCTGAAGCCTCTGAACCACAGCTGCTTCGTGCTCTTCTCTTTCTCATCGATCATGGCGACGATCAGCTTCACCACCTGCTCCAATGCGCATGCGGTGGCGCTCTTGTATTTCCTGACTAACTCCAGTTTTTCCTCCTCTGTCACATACTCAGAGTTCAGCAGCTCCCACACCGATGGCTTCTTTCCCCTGTACCTGCCCACTGTGACTGCCACCCGCTTGGTCTCCAGGGCCCTCCTTGTGGCTTCATCGATGTACATGGCATCTGTTTCATCCCGGACCACAGGGAAAAGAGCCCAGCCCTCCCCCTCCTCCCGGCGGCTCCTCTCCTGCAGTTGCTGGTATGTCACCTTCTCATGCGTGTTGGGGTCCACGAATCTCTTTTTCATGTGCTTCTGATCCGAAACCAGCGGGTACATGTCCTGGTTCAGACAGCCGCGTCTATACGCCGTCTCCAGTGGGAGCCGGAGGTGGCGCAGAGGGTCTATGGCTCCCCCTGTGGCCACCTGCACCTCCAGCAGTCTGAGGGCCTCCTCCCGACTCACTAGCTTCCTCTCCATGGCCTCCAACAGCGGGAGCGTGTCCCCTGTGGCTGGGTCCGTGTAGCCCTTGGCGGCCTTTTCCGCATTCCAGAGCCTTTCCTGCAGCTCCTCACCCACCAGGCCGGCGGCCACAGCCTGGTCCACGGAGAGCCTCTGATGGCTGCGGGGGTCCAGCATGAACCCCGTGGCCGCCTGTGCCTCCAGCAGCAGAGCCGCGAACCCCGCGGGGATGAGTCCCCTCGTGCTGGCCTCGTGGATGCTCATCACCTCCTGGGTGGCGGGGACAGTTACCCCTGCAATGCAGCCGCGGCCTTCCAGGTAGATCTTCACGTGCTCCAGCTTGCTGAGGTCCTGTCCCTCACCTTTCCCTCTGTGCTGCGAGTCCAGGGTCTTTTTGTCGACAATCTCGGCGTTGAACAAGTCTGCGGCTGTCACTTCCCCACCGATGCCGGCCATCCTGATGCCTCGGTTTCGTTTCTCTGTCTCTTCAACTGTGGTGGTGATGATCTCGAGCAGCTTGTCCAGGCGCACGGTCTGCGCTCTGTACTGCTGGACCAGCTTCCGCCGCTGGTCTTCCGAGAAGTACTGTGAGGACAGCAGATCCCAGACGGAGACCTTCTGGCCGGCAAACCTGCCCACGCGCATCGTCACAGCCCTGGACCGCAGAGCCTGCCTTGTGGCCTCATCGATGTATACGTACGGGTCTCCTTTCTTTACGATCTGTAACATGTACAGGCCGGTCTCGGGGTCCTCCACGCAGCGCTCCAGCAGCTGCAGGTACGTGAGGTTCTCGTGCGTGTTGGGGTCGAAGAAGCCCTTGGTGTCGTCGCTCGGGTCCTCCAGGACGCGGTTCATCTCCTCGTCGAAGTAGCCACGCTGGTAGGCCACGTGGACGGGCACGCGGTGGCTGTGCACGGGGTCGATGATGCCGCCCGTGGCGATCTGGGCCTCCAGCAGGCGGATGCCGTGGTCCCGGATGATCAGGTCCTTCTTCATGGCCTGGAAGAGCGAGATCTGCTCCCCGGTGTAGGGGTCGGTGTAGCCGGTGACGGCGCGCTCGGCCGACAGCAGCTTCTGGTAGGTTTCCTTGCCGAACATCCCAGCCGCGAACGCCTCCTCCACGGTCAGCTTCCGGTTCTCCACGGGGTCGATGACGAAGCCGGTGGCGGCCTGGGCCTCCAGCAGCACCAGGGCCGTGCCCGGCCGCAGGATGTGCCTCCTCAGGGCCTCTGATATGCTCATCCTCTCCTTTGTGCCCTGGACAAGGACCCCGGCGATGAAGTTGCCTCCTTCTAGAAACTGCCTCACGCTGTCCATCTCCGTCACCTCCTGCACGGTCCTCGTCCCCTTATTCAGCTCATCCAGAGTCTTCTTGTCGATCAGCTGGGACCTGAACAGGTCGCTGGCTGACACTTGCTTCCGGAGTCCCCTGAACACAGCGTGTGAGGCCTTCCCTTCTGATGCCTCAACCAGGGCGGTGACTGCGCTGACCACCTGCCGCAGGGCCGTGGCCCTCCCGGACTGGCAGAGTGCTGCCAGCTCCCGCCGCTTATGGACGGTGACGTACTCTGAGTGCAGCAGGTCCCACAGGGACACTGTGAGCCCCTTGAACCTCCCAGCACCGACGGGCACCTTCATGGCTCTCAGAGCCACTGCTGTGTGGTCGTCCACCTCAAGCACCACGTCCTGGGGGAGCGGAAGCAGCCACAGGCCGGTGTCGGCATCAAGGACACAGCGCTCCTTGAGCTGCTGGTATGTCACCTTGTCCCGTGTGCTGGGGTCAAAGAAGAACTTACTGTCCTCATCTGTCCCAGCCAGTGCCTGGCTTGTTGGCTCATCCAGGAGGCCCAGCCTGCAGGCTGCCGCCTGGGGCAGGTGCACCCCATAGATGGGGTCCATGGCGCCCCCCGTGGCCAGCTGTGCCTGCAGGAGGGGGAGGCCCTCGCTCTGGGGCACAAGTCCCTTCTCCATGGCCTGCCACAGTGAGAGGGAGCCCCCCAAGTATGGGTCCGTGTAGCCGGCCACTGCCCTCTCGGCCTGCTGGAGCCGCTCGCTCAGTGTCCCACACACCAGGCCGGCCTTGACCGCACCTTCCACTGACAGTCTCTGGTTCGTCAGAGGGTCGATGAGGGAGCCAGATGCCACCTGCGCCTCCAGCAGTCTCTGCCCCAGGCCCGCGGGCAGCAGGCCATCCTTCATGGCCTGGCTGATGCTGGCCTTGGTCCCTGAGGGCTGCAGCAGCACGCCCGCCACACACCCTGTGCCCCGCAGGCAGGCCTTCACCGCAGGCTCTTCGGCGACCTCGGCAGGCAAGCGCGTGCCCTGAGCCAGTGCCGCCAGCATCTCCTGGGAGATGATGCCAGCGTCCAGCAACCAGACAGCGGGGACCTTGCCCCGTGGGCCGGGCAGGGTGACGTGGGCCCGTGCCAGGAGCTCCGCGCCCCGCACCCATGTCTGCACGGCCGCCTGGAGCTGCTGCACGGTGGTCCTCCCCGCCCTGACGTCTTCCAGGAAGTCCCTCCGCTGCTCCTCGGTGAAGTGGCTGGAGTGCAGCAGGTCCCAGAGGGATGTGCCGTCCTCGGCCCCCTGCGTGGCCTGCAAGGTCTCCCGGACCTGCTGGTCTGTGGGCATGGCAGAGGCACTTTCCGGCAGCGGTAAGAGGTAAAGGCCAGAAGCCTCGTCCCTCAGACACTGCTCCAGAAGCCGGGCATAGCTGGTGTGTCCCTGGCCATCCAGTGTGGGAAAGGTCTCCGAGGATCTGGCCAGGGCTGTCTCCATCTCATGGTCGATGCAGCCACGCTGGACGGCCATGGGCATGGGCAGGTGGTAGTGTTCTGAGGGGTCAATGACCCCTCCCGTGGCCACTTGGGCCTCCAAGAGGCGGGCAGCCTGCTCTGCACAGACAAGGCCCTTCTTCATGGCCTGGAACAGGGACACTCGTTCCCCAGAGAAGGGGTCTCGGAAGCCAGTCACGGCGTCCTCGGCCCGTCTCAGCCTGGCATACAGCTCTGGCCCCACCAGCTTCCTGCGCACGGCCTCTGCTGCCGACAGAGTCTCTAGACTGTGGGGGTCGGTGAGGGCTCCGGTGGCGGCCTGGGCCTCCAGCAGGGCCAGCGCCACTCCTGGCCCCAGCAGCTTCTGCTTCATGGCCTGGTAGAGGCTGAGCTGCTGAAGCGAGGGCTGCAGTAGCACCCCCCCCACGGCGCCGGAGCCCTGCAGGTGCTTACGGATGCCGTCCCTGCGCAGCAAAGCCTCAGGGCTGACCTCCCCAGCCAGCACTCGGTCCAGCAGCTCCTGGTCAATGACCTGGGCCTCCAGGAGCTGGTAGGCGGTGACGCGGCCCCGCAGCGCAGGCAACGTGATGTCGGCACACCTCACTACCTCTCTCTCCAGCAGCTGCACGACCTGGTCCAGGGAGACCGCGCGCATCCGGTAGCTGTGCAGGAGCTGCCTCCTGCGGGCCTCGCTCAAGCACTCCGAGTTGACCAGCTCCCACGCGGACACCCGCCGCCCCCGGAACCGCCCGCACTTCACTGACAGCAGCCGGCTCTGGAAGGCCTGCCGCGTGGCGGCGTCCACCAGCTGGGGCCGCGCACTGCTGAGTGGCAGCAGGTATAGGCCGGTCTCGGGGTCACGCACGCAGCGCTCCAGCAGCTGCAGGTACGTGAGGTTCTCGTGCGTGTTGGGGTCGAAGAAGCCCTTGGTGTCGTCACTCGGGTCCGCCAAGATCAAGTTCAGTGTTTGGTCGAAGTAGCCGCGCTGGTAGGCCACATGCACGGGCACGCGGTGGCTGTGCACGGGGTCGATGATGCCGCCCGTGGCGATCTGGGCCTCCAGCAGGCGGATGCCGTGGTCCCGGACGATCAGGTCCTTCTTCATGGCTTGGAAGAGCGAGATCTGCTCCCCGGTGTACGGGTCGGTGTAGCCGGTGACGGCGCGCTCGGCCGACAGCAGCTTCGCATACACGCTGGGCCCGATGACGCCGGCCCGCAGTGCCTCCTCCACGGAGTACCTCTTGTTCTCCTTCGGGTCGATGATGAAGCCGGTGGCCGCCTGCGCCTCCAGCAGGATGAGAGCTGTGCCCGGCCGCAGGAGCCCCTTCCTCTGAGCCTCGTGGATGCTGAGCCGCTCCTGGGAGCCAGGCAGCAGCAGGCCAGCGACGCAGCCAGTGCCCTGCAGGTACCTCTGCACTGAGCCCAGGCTGCCCACGTCCTGGGCTGTGGTCTGTCCCCGAGCCAGCTGCTCATACACGTCCTGGCCAATGATCTCCGCTCTCAGCAGCTCTCCCGGTGTCACAGCGACCCTCAGCCCCGCAAAGGTGGTCCTGGCAGTGGCTGCAGCCTGCTCCAGGGTGGCCCTCAGTGCAGCTGCCAGGTCCTCCACCGAGAGAGTCCCTTCCTTGTATTGCTGGGCCAGCATTGCCCTCTGCCCCACGGAGACAGCCTCGGAGAAGAGCAGCTCCCACAATGACGTGGGCTGGCCCTGGGCCTTACCCACGGGGACGGTGGTCATGGCTGCACTCAAGGCTTGCCGGGTGCTGTACTCAATGAACGGGGGTCCCTGTGGCTCCTCTGCAAGGGCCCCCCCTGAGAGGGGCAGAAAGGCCAGCCCCGTCTCGAGGTCGGTGACACAGCGGGCCAGCAGCTGCTCGTAGCTGAGGCTGTCCTGCGTGGTAGGGTCGGAGAAGCCTGTGGCCTGCGAGAGACACTGCTGTGTCTCCTCGTCCAGGCAGCCGAAGCGCAGGGCAGCCTCCAGGGGCAGCCGGAGCCTGCGGTCCGGACACACGAGCCCGCCCGTGGCCAGCTGGGCATCCAGTAGCCGCAGTGCCCGAGGCCTGTCCACCAGTTCCTTCTTCATGGCCTGGAAAAGGGAGAGGCGGGTGCCGCTGAAGGGGTCGTGGTACCCCGTCACTGCCTGCTCTGCGTCCAGGAGCTGCCCGTGAAGCTCTGGGCCGACCAGGCCCACCTTGACCGCCTCATCCACACAGAGCCGTCGGCCGGTGGCTGGGTCCACCAGCGTGCGGGTGGCGGCCTGAGCCTCCAGGAGAGGAAGAATGGTGCCCACAGGGAGCAAGTGCTCAGTGACGGCCTGGCAGAAGCTCTTCTTGTGGCCAGCGGGCATCAGGACGACCCCCGCCACGCCACCTGTGCCCTGCAGATAGCACTGCACCTGGGGCCACGCGCCCACATCTGGCGCGGCCAGCGTGCCCTCCTGCAGGCCGCGGGCTGTCTCCTCGTCCAGGATCCCTGCCTCCAGCAGCTCAGCCAAGCTGGCCGCCCCACTCAGGGTATAGAAAGTGACCTTGAGGGGCAGCAGGGCCAGCCCTGTGCCAGGGGCTGGCACACACCTGCCCTGCAGCTGACTGTAGGACAGCCGCTCCAGCGTGTTGGGGTCCAGCCAGCCCGGCTCCCGCTCCGAGAGGCTGCGCCACATCTCCTGGTCCAGGAGGCCCTGCTGGCAGGCCAGCTCTGGGGCTACACGCACACCCCGGCTGGGGTCCACCAGGCCCCCCGTGGCCAGCTGGGCCTCCAGCCAGCTCATCCCCAGTGTGCGGTCCACAACCTCCTTCCCGATGGCCTGGAAGAGGGCCAGCTTTTCACCCCCGTAGGGGTCAGGGTACCCAGTGACTGCGCGCTCTGCAGCCAGCAGCTTCTCCTTCAGCTCCAGGCCTACCAGACCCTGTTGCAGAGCCTCAGATACGGGGAGCAGCTGGCCTTGGGCAGGGTCTACGAGGCCCCCAGTGGCCGCCTGGGCCTCCAGCAGGGCCAGCCCGAGCCCATCGGGCAGGAGGCCCTGCTTCATGGCGGCATAGAGGCTCTGGGTCTGACCCGAGGCCTCCACGTGGACCCCAGCAATGCTCCTGGCCTGGTGCCCGGAGGGGGCACCAGCTTCCAGCACGGACTTCGTGATCTTGTGGATGATGGCAGGCTCGGTGCCATTGGTGACGAGGACATCGAGAGGAGAGGCGTGGCCGTTCATGGCGCCTGGCTGGCTGTGCAGAGCTCACTCGCCCACGGTGCGCCGTGTCTGCTCCCTGTAGGGGTGGAGAGGCTGTCAGGGACCCTGGGACAGACCGGGGCGGGGGGGGCAGGGCAGTCAGGGCTCAGTCCCTGATCCTGGGTCTGCCTCCTTCCCGGGGGACGAGGGTCGGTCCCAGGTGCGGTCCCTCCCTTCTCCTCGTTGGGTCCCTGGAGGGACCATGTGAGCACTGGGCCCCAGGCTGGCTGGGGCAGCCTCGAGGGACGTGCGGACTATTTCCTCCTGCACGCCATGCTCTGGCCTCCATCCCAGCCCAACACTCTTGCCTGCCCCCCCACACCTGGGGGGGGCTGGGCCTTGTGTGCCTGCATGTGGCCTCAGCACTGTGCCCCCACAGCGCCCACGCCCCCCGTGGCACAGCCCTCCCTTCGCTCCCCAAAGACTTGGCCCTGCCACCCCACGTTCGTGGGCACCATCACCTGCCCTATCCTCCCTCCACCCCTATCTCTCCAGAGACCTCGAAACTCACTCCCTCCCTCCAGCTCCCTGCTGGGTTCTAGCCAGACACCCTCCCATCCTCCGCCCTCTACCCCACCAAGGTGTCCTCCTCCGCCCCACCCTGACCCCGTGCTCTCTGAGCTATGGATGCTCTGCGCCCACACCTGGACACACCTGTGGGGCTGTGGGCAGGGCTAGGCAGTCTCCAGCCTGCCCGTCCCAACCGGCTGGCTCAAAGCCCAGCACCCCCACGGGAGTCTCCTCTCAGCAGATGCCGGCATGCCCAATTCTCTGAGCAGCAGTGACAGGTGCATAACCCCCTGCCCATGCCTGTCCCTTCTATACTGGGTTAAATTGTGTCCTCTCAAAAAACACTCCCAGCCCCTTTCACCATCTATTTGGAAACAGGGCTTTTGCAGATGTGATTAAGATGAGGTCACCTGGAGCAGGGCCCTGATTTGCATGCCTGGTGTCCTTAGGCAGAGAGACGCAGGGACAATGCCCATGACGACAAGGCAGATGGGTGTGATGCAGCCCAGAACGCCACGGGCTGCCGCCAAATGCCAGCAGCGCGGGTTTGGACTCCGGCCTCTGCACTGAGAGGAGTTGTTTCTGTTCTTTCAAGCCGCCCAGGCTGCGGTGACTGCGACAGCCCTGCCCCCCGCCCTGTGAACCATCGCCTCCCCGATTCCTCACAACCACACCCGCAGCCTGTCCTGGTCCACGCCCTCACTCCCCACTGGCGCTGTCTCCTGCGTGCACCCCAAGCCCGTCCCTCTCCCCAGCTCCACAGCTCTGGCTGAGGCATCCTGACTCCACTGCCAAACCTGACAACACATCTGGGGTCTGGCTGTCTCCAACTTCCAGGTCATGTGACATGGGGACCTTCTGCTCTGCCCCCACTTATCCATTAACTCAGAGAGCTCCCCAAGACTGCCTCAGCCCCCCAAATCTGCAGTTGAGCGTGGCCTGTCTGGGGGTCCTGGAACCAAGTGTCCACCTGCCTCACAGGCAACCTCAAAGCCCGTGGCGCCCACACCACTCGTGCCCGTGATGGCTCTCCCTCGCCTGCCCTGAGCCTGCCCTGAGCCCCTAGCAGGTTCCCTGAGGGGTGCTCCTCTGCCCAGACCCCTCACGTCCATATCCGTGGCCTCCCACAGCTCATGGGCACAGTGATGTGGCCTAAGGCTACCACCCTCCCTGCTCCTACACTCCCCACAGCCCTCCGGCCCTGGGACAGGGTGGGGTCAGCGAGCGGCCACAGGGCAGGCGCGGGGACCTCTGTGGGGCACTCTCGCGGCCAGGGCTGTGCTGAGGGCAGTGTGGCGGAGCTGGGTGCAGGGCCCCGCTGTCAGCAGAGAGTCTGGGGCTTTGACACAGAGCCGATGGGGTGGACGCCACAGCTCTGCCAGGCCCTGCAGAGAGGACTGTGGTGGGCGGCTGCCTCCTCAGAACCGTCCCCCTGCCCTCCACTGGGGGTGTCGCATCACCCTGCAGGTCTCCCTGCCGAGACATGGTGAAGCCACCCTCCTCAGTCCCCCTCTGTGCGTGAAATCCTGCTTCCCCTCCCCGCTGCAGATGCTGGGCCGGTGGTTCCTGGGGACACCCTGCAGCTGATCTGTTGCTTAGGCTGAGACAGTTGGTGCCAGGAGCAGGCAGACACCAGGGCAGGGCTTTGGAGGGGTCCCAGGCTGGCCCTGAGGGCAGGGTCACAGGAAGCACTGGGATGGTGGGGAAGCTTTGCCAGGCAAGTGGGCCAGGCAGGGCGGGCCTTTGAGGTGAAGGCGGAAATGGGGACCGCCACTCGGGAGCCAGACGGCACAAGCCTATGTGGATAATGAGGCCTCATGGTGGCCAGTGGGGAGGCACTGACCTCTGCAGGGCAGAGCAGGGCTGGGCAGCTCCATGGTGAGAGGCCACTGAAGGCACCTTGGAGGCAGCAGCTCACAGGCAGCCCCAATCCCATCTCCCGGAGGGGGCGCACTCCTCTGAGAGGTGATGCGCCCTGTCCTAGCAGGGGACCCCGTGGGCCCAGGAACCTCCTGCCGCATCTCTGGATTTAAATGTCCTGGTCCCAGGGGACACAGCTCTAGTCCCACAGCCATGACCACGGCACCACGAGGCCAGCAGAAGAGTGAGCCACCCAGCGGGGGAGCTGAGCTGTGACAAGTGGGGCAGGGGGTGCCCTGGTGGCCACTGGCTCCTCACCTACCTGTCTGACAGGGAGCCTCAGGGATGGGGTCTGCCCACACCCCAGGTGGGTGCTGAGCTGGCAGCCAAGCAGCCTGGTGAGGGAGTGAGGAGGAGGAGACGGTGAGCACCCAGTGTGGCCGAGGCCTGCTGCAGCGGCAGGGGCCGGGGGCCGCCCCGCTCACCTTCTCCTTCTGTGTCCCCGAGGAGCAAGCGCCTGGGCAGGGTCCCGGGGCTCGGAGTGACCGTGGTGGATACAGGGCTGCCCTAACCTGTTAGAGGTCAGCGAGACGGCACCTCGGGGGCCAGCTCGTCCCTCCACCCACCTGCTTCCACGAGCCAGCCCGTGGCCATTTCCTAACATTCTGTGTCAAGCTCTGGTCCCGGGACGGGCCTGGTCCACTGCACCAGGAACCGCATGCTTTCTTACAGCTTCTGCCTTCCAAGGGTCTGACCCGAGGGAGCCGTTAGGCTGGCGCGCGGCCCCCGCATAGGAGTGCGTGGTGGCAGAGCTACCGGGGTGCCCAAATGGGCACAGCTGCAGGTGGCCCTCGGCCTAGACACAGGCAGTCAGCCCAGAGCCCAGACGGGCTGTGCTGCAGCTGGGAGGGGCGGCGCCAGGCCGGGGGACCCGGTAATGTCGTAGCCACTCAGGGTCCCGGCACCAAGGGCAGTCCTGGTGGGAGAGGGCTGGGGACCGGGAGCAGGTGCCACGTGAGTGCAGCAGGAACCTTGGGGAGGCACTGGAAAGAGGGGTCTGGCAGCCTTGGGGCTGAGAGGTGGAGCAGGTTCCTCCTCCTCCGCGCCACACAAAAATTTGGCAGAGAATCTGAGAAGGGCAGAGGGTCCTCCCAGGGCTTCCTGGCAATGACCTGCCTGGTCGCCCTGGGCAGCAAGAGGTGGGAGGGCCATTCCTGAGGAGGGTGGGTTCGAATTCCTGGAGGGAGGGGCACGATACTAGTCACATCCTGAAGAGCAGCCCCCACGCCAAGGGTGGGTCCTGGGGGCTAGCTGGTGTCCACCTGAGCCAGATCCGAGCAGAACAGGTGGCCAGGAGCCCACAGAGGGAGGTGGCGACCTTTGCCCGCTGTCAGCAGCCGCCGGACGACCAGCCCAGGTGCAGAGGCAGAGATGATGGCCTAATAAAAGCTGGGCATGATGGGGTGGGGGCGGGGCGGAGGGCCATGAAGGGTGGGGCGAATGATGGACAGAGCTTCACCCACCTTTGCCTCCCAAGTGTCCTGACGACCCCAGCAGGCGACTCTGTGCCCACCCACCCGAGAGCAGGTAGCTCCCTCAGCGGGCCAGCTCGCGGGCACCCCAGGCAGGAGCCACACCACACTCTCGACTTGTCAGCCTAAGTGCCTGGCCTGCTCCTCTCACAAACGCCCGCCCTCCGCGCCGGGCATGGGGACAGGCAGGCAGGTACCCGACCTGCAGGGCCCCGCCCCAGGAGGCG